TCTGTTAAAACCCTCCAGAGTACTGTGAAACAGTAATAGAAAGTCGCAAGCACGCTGGGAGATGCTGCACGCTTTGGGTTGGGGAGAGGAGTGGAGCTGCTGGTGGGTCTGGGGGCTGAACTCCCCATTTCTGTCTCCTCCCAGTTCCCTGGGACAGGAGCATCCCTCTGGTGGGAGCATCCCAGGGCAGTGCTGTCCCCTCCCAGCTCCTCTTCACCCCATACTCTGCTCTTGCATGCTGGATTTTTTTTTCCCTTTGTACCTCTGCTTACCACGTTACTGTTTTGAATCTCTAAAATAATGTGACAAGTTAATGATGGCACAATTATCTAAATGTTTAACAGACATGTTATCTAAGTGAATCGGATTGAGATTCCATCCCGCTGACAATAAACATCAATGGGAGAGCAGAAAGTGATAGGCAAATTATCGCAAACCCTGCAATTTCAATGCTATTAAATTTGGAGGAATAACAGCCCTGAGGCCTGTAAACTCTGAATAAAATAGACCCTTGTGTTTGTCCAACTATTAAATCAAAATGCTACCAACATCCCAGGAAAAGAAAAAAAATAAAGGGAGATTTATAGCTTTTCAATTTTCAGTTACACATTGGTTTTATTAACTCCTTTCTGCTGTTTGTACCCCAGTCATCGCAGCGGAAATGTCTGCTGTGGGTGGGAGAAGGGAGTGATGGTAGAGAGGAGGAGGAGAGACGGGATGAAGCCTCTTGCTTTTAGGAAATACTAGACAAATCACCTCTGATACCTTCTAAAAGTGCGTGGCACACCAGCCAACCCCAACCCCATTACCGCCAAAGCCAGCAATGAGCTACCGGAGCCCCATTTGTGGATGCACTGCTTGGTGGTAATTGGTTTTCTCCTGATACATTTGGTTTTTCCTCTACATTAGAAGAGCACAGTAAGTAATTTTCCACACTCTCCCTCCGGCATGGTGCTGGGCTTACGCTGCTATGAAGATGAGCCAGAACAGTTGCTGCTTTTCCTATTGCTGTAGGACAGAGGCCAAGGAAAGTGAACACCCAGAAAGAACCTCTCAGCCCAGAGCCGGCCGGGCCGCAGGCAGTGCGGCCATCCCTGTGTTTACAAGCAGGAGTGACTTTGTCTTTTAATACCTTTTACATTGCAGCTGAAAGAAGGGCTTAATTTTTCCACCATAAGAGATGGAGACTGTTTTACAGCAGTAACCGGGCAGAAAATTTACATCAAATTGGAATCATAGAGTATCCCAAGTTGGAAGGGTTGCATAAGGATTGCCAAGTCCAGCTCCTCCTAGTGCACAGAAAAATGGGAGAAAAATGGGGTTCCACATCCAAGCCGTTCACCTGAGAAACATCTCCCCACGTGGAAAAAAAAAACCCAGGAGTCCTTACTCATCCATTTCAGAAAACTTCCCAAGCTCTGGATGATCCACAAAACCAACAACCGTCAGTTGGCTGTTTGCAAACTGGAGCTGCACCCTGCAATAAGAGCTGCATCTCTGAACAAAACAGGTCTGTTTGGTACATCTGTGCCAAAGGAGTCCTTATTTATTCAGCCTCTCCCTGAGAAACGTCTGAACCACCCCTGAAGCCATCCACCCCAACGTCTACCAAAAAAGGGCATTTTTTTTTTTTCTTTTGGCAAAGTCTGAAGGTCTTCCACCGAGTTGGCCAAACAACCTGCTGCTAAGGACGAGAGGACGACGCTCCAAAACCTTTATTGGGAGATGTCATTAGTTAGAAAGAGTTGCTAATTATAGCAACTGTATTGGAGGAATGTTTCTTCTGCCACAGGCAGCGCTATTTGAGTGCTGCCCAACAACAGGAAGCTATTAATTTCAGTGAGTGCGGGCTCCTCTGACCATAGAGCCCATTTCTGATGTGTAACTGAGACGCGTGTGTTTACAGCTCACAGAGGTGATGATAAACCTGTTTAACCTGGGTCATCGTGTTCTGCTGGGCTAAGTTTTCATGTCACCCTTTGAGCCTTGGCACACACACAGGCCGCCATGGTCCAGCCCCAAGGTTTCCCATCAGGCCAACAATGACTCATGCAGAATTGTCAAGGTCACCAGCGACAGCCCATCTCCACACTGCTCTGCGTGGTTTTCAGGATGGCTTCGGACCAAGCCACTGCCTGCAGGGGTTGCAGAGCCCTGGGAGTGTGATGTTTGGTGGTGCCATGTAACACCACATATAGGCACTACCAAACCCATGCTACAGAGCCTGCTTCACCAGCCCCACATGGGGCATGCACCAAAACCAACCCCTCGATGTGCTGGCTGGCTCCTGTAAGCTTTTCTGCCCTCCCTAACCTACAGCGTATACAGTTGCTAAAAAGATTATGGTTTGTAAAGTTCAGCCTCAAGTAGCATGACTTTGAATACAGAGGGCAATCACTTTAAAATTTATTACCTGCTGCTTGGCAAGCAAAGTTTCCAGATCAAATGACGTGCTGAGCCTATTCCTGCTCAGTGACGCAGCAATTTATATTACTGATCGGTCATTAAAACCTCTGGCATATAACCAGTCATGTTCTGCATGCCAACATAGCGTCCACACATCGAATTTTAACCTTTGAGTATAAATGCAGCCATTAATGGCATCTATCAGTTTTTTCAGCATTGAAAGACTAGCTTGCTCTAATTTAAACTGCCCTTAGTATAGCACAGAGAGGAGCGGGCTCTTCTCTGCAATTTTGATTTCAGGAGTTGCTCAAAGACTCCACTTCGGACTTCCTGATGTGAACTCCTCCATGCCCCTTAACAAACCCACTGTGGGTTGGAAGGATAGTGTTTACAGCGTGCATCTGTCACCCTGTATGGGGCAGAAGGAGCTCCTCGTGCTTATCCACAGCCGGCCGTATCCAACCCGAAGAGCTGGAAAGCACAATAACAGAAACGTGGCAAAAGCCAACTGTTGATAGCTCTTTGGAAAGGAGCAACGTTTTCCTCACAGAGGGAGCAGTCATATTACGCAGTATTTGCTGCACAATGGTTTCCTACATGCATACTTTAGAGCTAAGCTATAAAAGCAACAGTGCTTCAGTGAATCACTGCCTCGTGTCTACATTGCAATGGAAGAAGAGCTCAGGCTATCTCACCCTTACAAAGCACGGAAGCTAAAACAATGCTGCAACTCAAGCTGCCTTCTTTATCAGCCTGCCGTATCACACAGTGGTTTGCAGGAGGGACTCACGGCGCACTGATGGCTCTTTATTTGCCTGAACACTGTGTGATGTTGGGATAACAGATGGGGTTCTGCTCCTGTGCCAAGAAAGGAACCCCAAGGCCCCCCAGGGCTGCATTCCTGCTCTCATCCCACTCAGCATCATAGCATCCCGTTAGAAGCGACACACAGACCTCATGGCTGCAAGGTGAAACCCACAGAGAGCCCCAATGCAGTGCAATTATTTGTAGAGATGCTTGAAAGCAGGAAGAGAATGACTGGTGTAGGCTGAGATTCTCAGATGATTTATAATGCATCACTCTTAGGCACCCGATCATCAGAACAGTCTTGACAATGTTATTTATCTCTTGGAAAGCTTCTCTTAAAATCTGAAATGGTGGCCAAGTGCCATCGCACTGGTCACATTCAGTAGAAGTTTGATGAGAGTTACACCTGAATTTTAGAGCCGTGTTTACAACATCAAGGGAGTAACAAACCAATTATCTGGAAGGAAATTGCAACTCCGTGAGCAACTCCTGCCAACAGCAACACTTCCATACTTCCAAACCTCTGCTCCTGGGTATGGGGCAAGGGCAGGGCTGGTTCCATGTTCCCAGCACCTCTCCCACTTTTCTTAAAGCCAATATCCTATGGATACTGGTCAGTTTGCATCATGGCCAGTGCTTGGTGCACAGAGCAAGGGTGGCCATCCAGCAGCACAACGACACTCTGAGCTGAACCACAGACAGCTGTGCTGCTCCTTCCACCAGTATCTCCCAGGAACCCACCTGGGGATGTTTCCCTTTTGAGAGTCACAAACAGTAACACAAATACAAAAATAATATTTCCAAGAGGTCAACAAAATGCAGGCTGATTTACCTTAATGGAACTAATTTCAAGACTGAAATGGACTTGGGCAGGTCAGAAGCCAGGATTCGCAAAGGGTGAATCTTGAGGTTTGCCAAAACTTCTAAAGGAAGCTTAAATATCTAACTTAGGTCTAAACGGTGTTTGATAACAGGCACTTAGAATCACGTCAATCACAGAACCAAAGAATGATCTGGGTTGAAAAAGAGCACAGTGCTCATCCAGTTCCAACCCCCTGCTCTGTGCAGGTCGCCAATCAGCAGCCCAGGCTGCCCAGAGCCACATCCAGCCTGGCCTTGAATGCCTCCAAGGATGGGGCATCCACAGCTTCCTTGGGCAACCTGTTCCAGTGCATCACCACCCTCTGAGTGAAAAACTTCCTCCTAATATCCAAGCTAAACCTCTTTTGTCTCAGCTCAAAACCATTCCCCCC